ATTAACTTACTATTCTTTTATTCATTCATACATTCATTCAACATTTATTGAACAACCTTTATGCTGAGAGGTTGGGGTGGAATGGTCAACAAAACTGATATGATTCTTAGCATCAGGAATTTACAACCTACTGGGTAAATACATTTAATCAAATAATCACACACATAAATATATCACTGCAATCAACAATTAAATGAAAACAATAATGTGTTTTTGGAGCATATATAGCTAATGAACCAATAGAAATCTTCCCTGAAGAAGTGACATTGAATCAAATAGGTTGTTGAATCTATGTGTCTCAACTCAAAAGAGATATTTGGACTTAAAATACATATATAAATTTGAAAGTTATTAGCCTATGCCTTTAGAAGTCATTAGTATATGCAGTATAAGAATAATGAAGACTCAATGTACTCGCATGAAAAGACCATCAAGACAGTATTATTAATAATAGTAGTAAAGCTAGGTAGGAAATAGTGTAATTATGCTCCCTCTTACATAAGAAAGGAAAACAAAATAGATGTATATTCCAAAAAAATTTTTGGAAGAATGCCCAAGAAACTAAAAACTGGTTGCATAAGTGGAGGGGTGGAGGAAGAGGGAGCCTTTATGTGGTGAACATTTTCATATTGTTTTGATATGAGACACCCATTTTTTAAAAAGCCAGGTAGAGGAGGATGAACTATGAAAAGAGAATGTAAGAGCAGCTAGAGAGGTGGAGAGTGTGTTGTCACTGAAGCCAAAGGGAAAGCTCGGGAGCAGTTAACAGTGCCAAATGCAACTGAGAGGTTTAGTGAAATCTACGCTGTGGAAGAAAGTATACACTGTGGGAGGGGAATCATGAAATCAGCAAGCAAAAGACCAACCACTCAATAAAAATTAATGAGGGACATGAATACGGTTCACAGTAAAATACAAATAGCTTAAAACATGAGCAAGTGCTCAACTCACAATGGAAAACATGCTATTATTGTTATGAAATTCTATTTTCATTTATATTGGAAAAATAAGGAAAATAAACACTCATGTACTCTTGGGAGAAGTGTATATTGGCATTACTTGTTTAAGAGGCATTTGACAATGTCTAGTAAAAAAATATATTTAGCTTATGATTAAGCAATTTCAAATATAGAAAATTTATATCTCTTTATCAATACAGATATGTTATACACACATTTACATGTAATATAAATTATATATACTTGTGATTTATACATATTTGCAAACACATATATGTGGATGTATGAAAAGATATATATGCAAATATCCTCAATGCAGCATTGTTTTAATAGCAAAAGACTAGAAACAGCCTAAATATCCATCAATATAAGACTGGTTTTAAAATTATGGTACATTTACAGAAAATATATTTGTGCAGATACAGAAAGATATTTAAGATACATTAGGTGAAAAATGCAAGTGCATAACAGTGTATATAATAGTATACTTCCATTTGTATAAAACAAATTAACGCATATGTGTTTAACAGTGCTAAAAGTATATAGAACATCTGGTCCCAGTGGATGCCTCTTAAAAGGAGACCCAGACACTGAAAGAACTAAGGTGGGAGGAGTATTTACTTCTCATTTACACTATTTTGTTCTTGTGAACTTTTTTTATTATATCCATATATTACTCCTATTAAGAAAAAAGACTAGCTAGTTTTAAAAAGTACTGTTTTTTTATTTTAAAACTATCTATGAGGGCTTCCCTGGTGGCGCAGTGGTTGGGAGTCTGCCTGCCGATGCAGGGGACACGGGTTCGTGCCCCGGTCCGGGAGGATCCCACATGCCGTGGAGCGCCTGGGCCCGTGAGCCATGGCCGCTGAGCCTGCGCGTCCAGAGCCTGTGCTCCGCAACGGGAGAGGCCACAACAATGAGAGGCCCGAGTACGGCAAAAAACAAACAAACAAACAAACAAACTATCTATGAGCCTTAGGATTATAGTGGTGACCTTAGCAAGAGCTCTTTGAATGGAGTCATAAGAGAGGAAGCCAGCTCCATACAGATGAGAAATGAGAGGGAGATGAGTAAATGAAGAGAGATGCATAATGAGCTTGAGAAGTTCTGCCGTCAAAGGGAGAAAAGAGGTAGAGTAGTAGCTGAAGTTTGAAGCATGGTCAAACGAAGGGATTTTTTTCATTTGTTTCTGTTTTGTTTTGTTTTTAAGTTGGGAGAGGCTTGAGCATGTTTAAATGCTGATGGGAAGGCTCTTAGGGAGAGGGAATGAGGAAAAGAGTCATTCATTGACCCCGTAAGCATGCTGAGATGGTGAAAAGGATGCTATCAAAAGCACAAGCAGAGGGCACCTCCTCCTCTGTAATGAGAGGTCAGGTCAGGAGGGAGGGAGAGACAAAAGTCATCTGGCAGTAGGAGGGTGTGGAACTGAGCAAATTCCTATCTTATGATTTCTACCTTTGTGGGGAAAAAAAAAAGCAATGAGATAGATTATCAGCTGAATTAGAGGAAAAGTGGAATGTGGGCAGTTAGGCATCTCAGAAACTTGAAGGAAGATTTGGTTTGAGAACTTAATTCCAGAGAATGGGAGAGCACATTGACCAGAGACATATAGAAAGCTTGTGCAGATGAGGTCAGTGTTCATGGATTTATAGCACAATCAACCAACGTGCACCGTGTGATTTTTTTCCTGGCAGCACCTAGATCCCCTTGTGTAGGCATAAAGAAAGCCAAGAGTTGGACTGGGGTTTTGACAAATGATTACCAACCAAACATAAAGGACAAAGATATTAAACACTCCTTATTAAATATTAAAGACTCCTCCACCTTCACCCCTTTTCCACCATCTTCAAGACCCATCAGTAGTCTCCACACATATTTTTTCACTTATTCACAATTCATAAATATTTGCATTTTCTTCTCACTAATCAGCCTTAGTAAGCTAAAGAGAAGGAAAAAATAACTTGAAAGGTTAGGGATTGGGATGGGAAGGAAAGGAAAGAACTAGAATTTGTTAAGCATCAGCTATTGTGCTAGATATTTACAAACGTGGTCTCATTTGTTGTGGAGTGGGCAATGACTATTTTCCGATTATACGCTTTTCATACAAAATTTCAACAAAGTCACAACTCTTTCTTTCTCAGACCATACGATTGGTAGAAAAACTCACCTCTCTGAGATCATATACGGTCAAAGCGATGGAAATGAATGACATGATTATGATAGCAAAAGCATACTCCTTATAGTCTTCGCTAAACCACAGACAGACACTGAAGAGCTGAAATATGTAAAATGGATTTAAAACCTGTTGGCAGCATAAAAACAGGAAGACAAGGGAGATATTTAGGTTTTACACTTAGCTATTCATTGACTTGTTTGTTACCATAATCATCTCCATGACAAATCGCCCCACCCAATATTCTTATTCTTATTATATTTATGCAGCGATTACCATGTGCCAGATACTGCACTAAGCAACTTTACCTGAATTTACTCATTTAATTCCCATAATTATCTTATTATCCAGAAGTTATTAGTTATCTCCATTGTAAAGATGAAGAAACTGGGCCTTATATCTTGAGAAACTTGCCCAAGGTCACAGAGCCACAGCTGTTACAGACCAGGACTAGAACCCAGGCAATCTGCCCCCAGTGCCCTTACTTTTAATCACCACTGCACCTTATAATTTACAAAGTATTGCCTCATGTATCACCATGTTGACCGTCACAACAGTTGTGTGAGGAGTAGATATTATCATGTCCAGTTTACACTGAGTGGCTTTCGGAACCTGACCTACTGGTCAGGTTTACAAAGTTAAAATGCTTTCTAGTTGTTCTTCTCTATGACACAACATTGCCATATCTGAAGCCATTAAAGTACTTTAGATTAATGTACGAGTTGAAGACTAAATTTTCTCATAAATAGAGAGCCAAGCTGAAAGGAATAATCTAGATAATTGAGCATCTAGAACACTATGGGAGAAAGCAGAGATTAACTCCAACAGTTGTAATCCTGCCTGGGATAAAAACATTTTGTGCCCTTACTCAAATTCCCTCTAGTTGATTTCCATCTTTCTAAAATAGGAACAGTTATCTTTGCTTCTGGTTAGGGAACAAGCACGCAGAAACTTTTCTTATCGGTTTCTTCTGCTCTGTTTCATGACTTAAAACTTGCTAGAAATATTGAGAAAGTAGCTGGAGTTTAGCAAGTCTTTTTTAAGTCAAGGAGGAGTGGAGGTACCATGCAGGAGAGGACCCAGAGTACAGCTGTAAGGTTGTAGTATAATAATCACGGTAAAATGAAAAATGAGCGCAGTGATAGAGTCAAGCAGAAAAAATTCAATGTAGTAAATTATGGTCAAATCTTTCTTTCCCTCCCACACATACATTGAGATCAGTAGAACTAATAAGGCTGAACAGATGTTTTCTTCCTACAGTTGTGGATGCTAAGGCAATTGTATATGTTGCCCATAAGAAAGGGATTGGGTTGTTTAAGTTTTAATTATTATTTTAGTTTCACAAAGATGAGACGGGATAAAAAGTATAGGATTAAGAAAGAAAGGAAACCCTGTGTTCATCCAGTCATTAAAGGATAAATAGACACATGAGCATCATATCTTATGCTGTAACAGGAAATGTGTGTGCAAAAATGGACCACAAGAAACAACAGAGATATGAATATGCTTGGCATTCTTTTAAAATAGCCCAAATTACAGTTACTATTAACAAGTAGCATTCTTGATCATTTGACTAAAATCTAACCTTTTTATTTTCTAGCCAGCATCAAGAGAAAATACTGATTACCTCCTTGATGAGCAGTTTCCAGATGGGTGTGATTTCAACATCGATAGTATTTGGCCCACATATTAACCTCCTATAGGGAGAGATCACAGCTCACTCAGTTACTAATAATAAAAATGAAACTCATTTCTTACCCATTCAAAAAAAAGACTATTCCATGTTCACTTTCTCACTTGTGGGATCAACATATGCCTCCCTTATTACATAACATCACCATCTTTCTCAAAATAACTGGAGAGGGGGAGGGTTTTCAGGTGCAAAACCAATAAGCATGATCATTTATTGAATTAAATATTTCCCTGATGGTAATTTGGGTATTTAATTTTAGTCATTGTTCCATTCAAGTAGCTTCAGGATTAGCACTCTCTCAACTCTGTCTCTCCCCAGCTCTTGGCTCCATGGATGTGAGACGGAGGGCTCATTACAGGGGAACAGTTTTACTGATAAGGAATACCGGGCCTACTTTTCCTCCTCCTATTCAGTTCTGGGAAGCTGCAGAATTTGTTTTAATGTGAGTGAAAAGGTGTTGAACTCTCAAAATAGCTCCACAGTTATACCATCCTTTAATTGAAAACTCAGAGATGTGTTTCTTTGATTACACAGAGCAACAACACTCTATGAGTTATTTGGCTGTTGAGAATGCTAAACACTTTCTCTGTGCCTTCTACGTGGATGCTCAGACCAAAGAGCTTAACAGAATGTAAATACTACAGCAGTGCTTCTCAGACTTTAATGTTCATACAGACAGCCTTGTGGTCTTGCGAATGGGAAGGTTCTGATTCAATAAGGATGAGATGTGATCTGAGATTCTGCATTTCTGGCAAGCACCCAGATCATGCCGATGCTGCACTCTGAGTCCATTCAAAGTACCACCAAAGCTCCACCCCAAAATGGGGCGGAGGGGGATGCAATAATCATAGGAACTTAGAACTAGCAAGTGTTTGCAGGGTTTTCCTCCCCTTTTCAACAGTTAGGAAACTGAAGCCCGTAAAGGAGAAGCCATTTGCTCAAAGCCACACAGTGAATTAGTGACAGACTCTTGGCATTCAACCCAATGCCCTTCCCAAACCTTGCTCCTCTGCCCAGTAGCTTATTTGGAATTGTGGAGCTACGAGTCTTGCATGATATTCTTCTGCTGCTCTACAATTATTATTTAACTATGCTGTCATAGTACAATACATATTTCCTAATCACAGTCAAAACTGGTTCAACCTTATTATTATAGAAACCTTGAGGAACATTATGCAGAGTAGAAAGATAACTAAGCCTGTAGTCAGAGATGCACTTCTTCCTCTATCACTTCCAGCTGTGTGACCTAGTTCAGCCCACTAAACCTCTCTGAGTCTCAGATTTCTCATCTGTTATACTGAGATGATGAGGATGTCTGTTCTAACTCCCCCACAAGGTTGCTCTGTTGAAGTGAGATAATGCATATAAAAGCATTCAATTTAATAATACTAAATAGAGCATTACAACATATTCTGATGCTGACCAGTTAAGGTAACCGTTTCCTGGACTCTCTTTTTCACTAACTGGTGACAGTCGTTCTGAGCTGGTGTAGATAAAAATATATGTGGTACCTAATCTCTTGTTCTTCTGTTGTTAGGCCTGATCCAAACTTTACATGTATCTTGGCAGAACTGAGCCAGTCTTCCAAAGAGCTAAAATGATAACAATGAGAAAGACACACTGAGCAAAATATATATATATATATATATATATTTTGCTCAGTGTGTCTTTCTCATTGTTATCATTTTAGCTCTTTGGAAGACTGGCTCAGTTCTGCCAAGATACATGTAAAGTTTGGATCAGGCCTAACAACAGAAGAACAAGAGATTAGGTACCACATATATTTTTATCTACACCAGCTCAGAACGACTGTCACCAGTTAGTGAAAAAGAGAGTCCAGGAAACGGTTACCTTAACTGGTCAGCATCAGAATATGTTGTAATGCTCTATTTAGTATTATTAAATTGAATGCTTTTATATGCATTATCTCACTTCAACAGAGCAACCTTGTGGGGGAGTTAGAACAGACATCCTCATCATCTCAGTATAACAGATGAGAAATCTGAGACTCAGAGAGGTTTAGTGGGCTGAACTAGGTCACACAGCTGGAAGTGATAGAGGAAGAAGTGCATCTCTGACTACAGGCTTAGTTATCTTTCTACTCTGCATAATGTTCCTCAAGGTTTCTATAATAATAAGGTTGAACCAGTTTTGACTGTGATTAGGAAATATGTATTGTACTATGACAGCATAGTTAAATAATAATTGTAGAGCAGCAGAAGAATATCATGCAAGACTCGTAGCTCCACAATTCCAAATAAGCTACTGGGCAGAGGAGCAAGGTTTGGGAAGGGCATTTTTTTTTTTTTTGCGATATGTGGGCCTCTCACTGTCGTGGCCTTTCTCGTTGCCGGACGTGCAAGCTCAGCGCCCATGGCTCACGGGCCCAGCCGCTCCACGGCATGTAGGATCCTCCCGTACCGGGGCACAAACCCGTATCCCCTGCATCGGCAGGCGGAGTCTCAACCACTGCGCCACCAGGGAGGCCCTGAGCAAAATATTTTTGAAATAATATTTTTCTTTCCAGATGCAATGCTCAAACAACTTACCCAATTTTCTGGAACTGTCCTTCCAAGTTGTTCCAAACATATCTTATTTTCTGCACTTTTATGCATCTCACCTGCAAAAGAGAAGTACTAAGAAATCTCCAGTTTGAGGATCAGCAAATACATAGCAGTTCAGTGACTAAAGAAGCATTCGTGAAAGAAGCGAAGATAGAGCCCTAGTATACTTATTTAAGATTTATCCTTTCCTAACGAATCCTATCCTTGCCTACTACACAAATGGAATTCTTTATTAGAAGTCATCATTCAAGCAACGTGTATCATGGGCCTAATACACGGTTAAGTATGTAAGTAAAACTGAGCCTCTGCGTTCCACTACTTGATAACCAAACAAGGGAAGAAAATATCTTATGAAAGGGAAAACTGTACCATACAGTCAAATTATGCATGTGTCAAAGAAATGAAAACATAATAAAGTAAAAATTATAGTATTGAAATGCTGTAGAAATACAGAGAGGGTAGATGACAGAAGGTGTCATGGAGAATAAGAATCTGAGCTGCATCCTTAGAGGATTGGGAGAACTTTGCTCAGGTGAGAAGGGAAGAAGGCATTACAAAGAGATTATACACAATTTAGTTGTGAGGGAGGGGTAAGTGAAGGGAGCCTATTTGACAGCAGAATGGAGAATGAGGCTGGAAGGATAAATAAAGACCAGACGATGCATCCTTAAATGCTAACATGAGTATTTAGAACTTTTCTTTTGTAAGCAATGGATTTGCAAAGTAACCTATGGAAGAGACACTGAAGACACAGTCTAAAAGATTAGACTGGCAGCAGGTTCTAGAAGACAGTGAGATGGCTATTGCAAGAAAATGAACTCTAGGAAGCAAGCATCTGAGAGTGTTGGCAATGGAAAGAAAGGTTAATGCTTATGACATAACGCCTTCTTGTTTTTGATTTCTTTAAACAACTTTACATATAAATGTGAATTTCCATTAACAGGTGACCTAATTAAGTACAAAGAGAAATGGTAAGACCGTCATATTGTTATGGAGCAATGGTTATAACCTCATTTTGCCCATTGGAATCAACTGGAGAGTTTTAAAGAATACTGATGACTGGGTCCCACTCCCAGAGAGATTCTAATTTCCTTTGTCTGGGGTACAGCCTGGGCATAAATAGTTTTAAACTTCCTCAGGTAATTCTAATGTGCAGCCAAAGTTAAGAAACAGTGTCCAAGACTTCCTTCTATAGCTACTCTTATCATTGTGTCCTTGAGAAATTCAATGAAATTTCTCTGCACCTCAATTTTTCCATGAATAAATTAAGGCAATTGGCCAGCTCATTTCTAAGTTCCACTGCCACTCCTCTGAATATGTTCTATACTTATGAGTATTATGGTCAGTATAAACATTAGATAAAATCTAAAACTTGGGAGAGCATATAGTTGGTACATAACAAGTGCTCAGCACATTTTTTATTAAATAAATAAATGAGTGCTTTTCACAACCATATGTCAACTAGAAATAGAATTCTTTTTCTTTTTTATAAATTGAAGTATAGTTAATTTACAACGTTGTGTTAATTTCTGCTGTACAGCAAATTAATTCAATTATACTGTATATACTTTCTTTTTAATATTCTTTTCCATTATGGTTTATCACAGGATATTGAATTTAGTTCCCTGTACTATACCATAGGACCTTGTTGCTTACCCATTCTATATATGTTAGTTTGCATCTGTTAACCCCAAACTCTGACTCCATCCCTGACCCCTTGGCAACCACAATAGAAATAGTTTAAATCCCTAAGCTCCAAGACCTGGGTTACTTCAAATGACTTTTAACCTTGTCCAATAAATATATGCATATAAACTTACTGTGGTAGTCATTTCATGAGGTATGTAAATCAAATCATTATACTGTGCACCTTAAACTTATACGGTGCTCAGTGCTGTGTGTCAATTATATCTCAATAAAGCTAGAAGAAAAAAAATATATGTGTATGTGTGCACCCACACACACATTCATAGTTACCAAGTGAGCGTATTAAATACTGTATTTTTTATTTTACAGAATGGATTTATTTCAATGTGTTGGTTGCAAAATAATATTAAAAAAAATAAATCCTGTCTTCCAATTGACTTTCAGTATAAAATTGGAGTGAACTGCCACTGGGAACAATTCTTCCTTCACAAGCTACAAGTTAAGGTGAGGAAACATGACCAGCCTGGGGTGTGTTAGCTGTCATGGCCCATCTTGGAGTCTCGAGGTTTTTGCCTCACATTTTCTTTTCCTTTCCAGTAGTCTCTACAATTTTACAAATAGAGCTAGACTGTGATCACAGCTACTGTTTACTGAGTACTTGGGGGGGTGGGGTTCTTGTCTTTTTAATCATCCTGTGGTAGGACAGATATTATCTTCATTTCCACTTTGCTGCTTAAGTTCATTTTGATTAAGTAACTTGCCCAAGACCGCATCTATTAAGAAACAGGGCTGGGACTTCCCTGCTCGCGCAGTGGTTAAGAATCTGCCTTCCAATGCAGGGGACACAGGTTCGAGCCCTGGTCCAGAAAGATCCCGTGTGCCGTGGAGCAACTAAGCCCATGCCCCACTACTACTGAGCCTGTGTGCTGCAACTACTGAAGCCCACAATCCTACAGCCCGTGCTCCGCAACATGAGAAGCCCCTGCAATAAGAAGCCCACTCACCAAAACAAAGAGTAGCCCCTGCTCGCCGCAACTAGAGAAAGCACACGCGCAGCAACGAAAACCCAACACAGCCAAAAAATAAAATAAAATAAAATAAAATAAAATAAAGAAACAGGGATGGAAATTGAACTTGAGCCTCTCTAGCCCCCAAGTCTAGTCTCTGAAGGACCTAATAGTCAAGCTAGTCTCAGAAGACGGTCTGAAAATCCCATAACTTCCAGTATTCAAATTGTATAAAGTGAGGGTTGCTTACTTTATTAATTCTATAAGTTCAGAAATTCAAGTTAGAAAAAATGTAAAAGACAAACGATGGTAGAATGTGAGACCCCTGCTCAGTTAGAGAACCTAGATCAATAGGCTGTGAGAAAGTTATATAACATAATAGATACAAAACAGCAGATGAAGGCAGCAATAATGAGGAATAAAGAGGTTACTGATAAGTTTTATGTCAGGCCAGAAAATGGAAAATCCCATTATCTCCTGACAAGTTCTGAAGCTATTCATCACACAGTGAGAAGAATGACTCCATCATAGGCCTTTTAAGTATCTTTGAGATTCCCCAAGCAGGGAAACACCCCTCTGCCTGGAGTTTCTCAGCTTCCCTCATCATGTCCAGAGGCTCTGAAAGCTGATAAGAAGATGTTAAGCATAATATTTGCAAAGGGTGAAGTTTATTTGCCCATTGCCTGGAACTTCAGACCAGGAAACAGTAATTAGGAAATCAGGGATCAGCTGTGCGGTGATTTTCATCTTTCCGCTCAGAACCAGAAATTGTTCCAATCCTCCGGCATCCCACTCTTCATTTCTGTTTAACAGGTTAAGCCATGGGTTTCACTTCTGCATGTAATCCTACAAAATAGCCCTTGGAGTCTCCTCTTAGCCTACATTTGCTGCAGTCTCCAAACTCCCCCTATGTGGTCCTGACGGTTATCATTTTGGTATTGTGTTATTGCTGTCATTGTCATCATTGTTGCTGTGGCTAAGCCTGTGACATATCTTGCGATTTTAATAGAAGTTTCAGTCCTTTATATGAATATAGCTCATTACCACTCACAAGTCACCTTATTATTCTTCTTTTCATTTTAGTTTCATGACAGCCCTGAGAAACAGGCAGAGAAGGCATTACTACTCTTGTTTTATAAATAAGAAACTCAAGGCCCAGGGAGGCAGTAACCAACCAAACTCCCTATGCTGTATGCTGGCAAACAAAGATATCAAGCCGGGGTGCCAGAACTTTCCATTTCAAGACCTCTGCCCTTTCCTCACATTTTGTTTGTCTATTTGAACATTTCTCCATTTGTCTGTCCACTTATTTGTTTGATGCAATTAAAGATGGTGGAGGTCAATAATATTCTGAGGCCATGTCCATAGGCTGATTTGGGTTGTCTATCCTCAGGTGAAAGGCCATCTAAAAAAATTAAGCAATCTATTGGTTGGGTGCTTCATCTCTTTTGATTTTGTTTATTTTGGCAGTTAAGACAACTGGGCGATAACAACTGACAGAAAAGAAACTGCTCAGCAATTGACTTTTATTATTTTAAAAAATTGACCTTGATCTCATAAAACCAATTTAAACAGCTGTCTACACATAATATAGATTGAAGAGAAAGCAGTCTGTGTTATAAAATATGTTTTTAATATGAATGTTAATTAGTCATAATCCAAGTAATAATAATTTAATATAATGGGAAAGGAGTAAACCAAATGCATTAGAATGATAATATCATTTTACAAACATAAACTACCTAGAATATTTTTTGGGGGGTTACCTTTACCGTAAGACAAGCCCTGTCACATAGATTATAATATAGGGCATGATGCTACTAACAGTTAATATGCACTGAGCATCTACTCTATACCTGCCACCATACCGATCTTTGTATTTCTTAATTTACTGAATTTTATCAATTAATAGTAAAGGTAGGCAATATCATCATTTTATACATGAGAAAATTGAGGCTCAGCAGGGTTTAGTAACTGACCCAAGGCTGCACAGTTTTGAGGGATGAAGCTGAGATTTGAATTGAGCTCTGTCTGGCTCCAAAATCCATGTTCTTTATAATGTCCTATACTGTCAGTTAAAGATTGGCACAGTGGAGGATCAATCAAAGAAGAAGATATAACAATTATAAATATACATGCACCCAACATAGGAGCCCCTCAATACATAAGGAAAAGGCTAACAGCTATAAAAGAGGAAACTGACAGTAACACAAAAATAGTGGGGGACTTCAACACTTCACTTACACCAATGGACAGATCATCCAGACAGAAAATTAATAAGGAAGCAAAAGTCTTAAATGACACAATAGACCAGATAGAGTTCATTGATATTTACAGGAAATTCCATCCAAAAACAGCAGATTATACTTTCTCCTCAAGTGCACACAGAACATTCTCCAGCATAGATCACATCTTGGGTCACAAATCAAGCATCGGTAAATTTAAGAAAATTGAAATCATATCAAACATTTTTCCTGACCACAATGCTATGAGATTAGAAATAAATTACAGGGAGAAAAATGTAAAAAACACAAACACATGGAGGCTAAACAATATGTTACTAAATAACTAAGAGATCACTGAAGAAATCAAAGAGGAAATCAAACAATACCCAGAGAAAAGTGACAATGAAAACATGACAATCCAAAACCTATGGGATGCAGCAAACAGTTCTAACAGGGAAGTTTAGAGCAATACAATCCTACCTCAAGAAACAAGAAAAATCTCAAATAAACAACCCAACCTTACACCTAAAGGAACTAAAGAAAGAAGAACAAACAAAACCCAAGTTACTAAAAGGAAAGAAATCATAAAGATCAGAGCAGAAATAAATGAAATAGAAACAAAGAAAACAATAGCAAAGATCAATAAAACTAAAAGCTGGTTCTTTGAGAAGTTAAAGAAAATTAGTAAACCTTTAGCCAGACTCATCAAGAAAAAAAGGGACAAGACTCAAATCAATAGAATTAGAAATGAAAAAGGAGAAGTTACAATGGACACTGCAGAAATACAACACATCATAAGAGACTACTACAAGCAAATTTATGCCAATAAAATGGACAACCTGGAAGAACTGGACAAATTCTTAGAAAGGTATAAGCTTCCAAGACTGAACCTAGAAGAAATAGAAAATATGAACAGAACAATCACAAGTAATGAAATTGAAACTGTGATGAAAAATCTTCCACCAAACAAAAGTCCAGGACGAGATGGCTCCACAGGTGCATTCTATCACTCATTTAGAGAAGAGCTAAAACCCATCCTCTCAAAACTCTTCCAAAACATTGCAGAGGAAGGAACACTCCCAAACTCATTCTACGAGGCCACCACCACCTAGATACCAAAACCAGACAAAGATAATACAAAAGAGAAAATTACAGACCAGTATCACTAATGAATATAGGTGCAAAATTCCTCAACAAAATACTAGCAAATAGAATCCAACAACACATTAAAAGGGATCATATACCATGATCAAGTGGGATTTATCCCAGGGATGCAAGGATTCCTCAAAATACGCAAATCAATCAACGTGATACACTATATTAACAAATTGAAGAATGAAAACCATATGATCATCTCAATAGATGCAGAAAAAGCTTTTGACAAAATTCAACACCCACTTATGATAAAAACTCTCCAGAAAGTAGTCATAGAGGGAACCTGCCTCAACATAATAAAGGCCATATACAACAAACCCACAGCAAACGTCATTCTCAGTGGTGAAAAACTGAAAGCATTTCCTCTAAGATCAGGAACAAGACAAGGATGTGCATTCTCACCACTATTATTCATATAGTTTTGGAAGTTCTAGCCATGGCAATCAGAGAAGAAAAAGAAATAAAAGGAATATAAATGGAAAAGAAGAAGTAAAACTGTCACTGTTTGCAGATGACATGATACTATACATAGATAATCCTAAAGATGCCACCAGAAAACTACTAGAGCTAATCAATGAATTTGGTAAAGTTGCAGGATACAAAATTAATGCACAGAAATCTCTTGCATTTCTATACACTAACAACGAATGATCAGAGAGAGAAATTAAGGAAACAATCCCATTCACCATTGCAACAAAAAGAATAAAATATCTGGGAATAAACCTACCTAAGGAGGTAAAAGACCTGTACTCAGAAAACTATAAGACAGTGATGAAAGAAATCAAAGATGACAGAAACAGATGGAGAGATATACCATGTTCTTGGACTGGAAGAATCAATATTGTGAAAATGACTATACTACCCAAAGCAATCTACAGATTCTATGCAATCCCTATCAAGTTACCAATGGCATTTTTTACAGAACTAGAACAAAACATCTTAAAATTTATACGGAGACACACCCTGAATAGCCAAAGCAATCTTAAGGGAAAAAAAGAGAGCTGGAAGAATCAGATTCCCTGACTTCAGACTATACTACAAAGCTACAGTAAGCAAGACAATATGGTACTGGCACAAAAACAGAAATATAGATCAATGGAACAGGACAGAAAGCCCAGAGATAAACCCAGGCATATATAGTCAACTACTCTATGATAAAGGAGGCAAGGATATACAATGGAGAAAAGACATTCTCTTCAATAAGTGGTGCTGGGAAAACTGGAGAGCTACATGTAAAAGAAGGAAATTAGAACACTGCCTAACACCATACAGAAAAATAAACTCAAAATGGATTAAAGACCTAAATGTAAGGCCAGACACTATTAAACTCTTACAGGAAAACATAAGAAGAACACTCTTTGACATAAATCACAGCAAGATCTTTTTT